GCCAGTACACAGCCTTTCTCTTTCTGTGAGTCTAGAGTCTTCAGCTGCTCCCTCTCTCCATGTCCTCATCTCTACCTACATCTCTGATGTTGCTACTTCTCTGGATAGGGTTCCACATTCTACTCATGCTCTTCTCCCCTGATGGTCTAGGATCCTGTTCCTGGAATGTAAGATTAACTACTCCCCCCCTTTATGTTACAAAACCTTTACAGTTGTGACAATTGCATTTAGTCATCATAACAATTACTATGGAATCATAAGAATCCTATCCCCATCTCCTTTCACAAGACCAGTCTAGACAAGATAAAAACTATTCAGTGGGGATTCTACCTTCCCCCACACTCTGAAACTAAACTCCCTCTTGAAAACGTATAAGCCAGTCATTTTGTGCCTTTATAGCCCCCTCCATTTTAGGTAGTTAATGTCTAAGTCTTACCCATCCCTATCAACCCTGTATATTGAAGGGATAGGCTTGATCCTTGATGCCTCTCGGTTGATATTTTAAGCTACTACATCCGTTAAGTATAGGTCAAGTTCATCACATTGTAGCAATTTACACTTGCTTCCTTTATCAAATTTCTTTATCTTCCTCTAGTTGAGCTCTGGTCATCAAGCCATCGAAGCTGGGTCAAATGGGTACTATTTGCAAGTTTGGGGGTTCTTGTGCGTCTCCCTCCACTTCACATCAGTCAGATGCTTCAATATCAGCTCTAGCTCTCCATGGCTAGGTCAATGTCCATGGGCTCAGGAGTTCCTAAGTCTCCCCAAACTTCAGACCAACCAGCCCTTCCTCTTCTCTCTCTCCTCTTGAGGTTGATAGGAGTCTATGGAACATGGTCAAACTCAGCCCCTATCTTCATTACTGACTTTCCCCCACTTCCACTCAAATGCTACCTTTTGAAATGGTTGAACAGCAACCATTTCTTTTTGATACAGTGACTGTGTATTCCTTCTTCCTTCTTTGGATGCTTTCTGCATCATTGAATATTTTGCCCATGTTGTTGTTATTAAGTGCCATCAAGTCGGTTCCAACCCATAGTGACCCTCTATAGTGTTTTCCAAGGATTAGCTGGAGAACTTGAACCACCGACCTTGTAGTTCAAACAATTTTGTAGTCTGGCACATTAACCCACAGCGCCACACTGGGACTCCACAGAATCCATCAAGATTGCAAGTCAAGGCTTGAATTTTTACTTAAGTTCTTTCGCTTGAGAAATGCTGAGTGTGTTCTTCCCTTTTGGTTTTCCAACTCAAGATATTTGATTGTGTCTTTCTGACCTGTACTTTGCAATTTTCTGTTTAGTTCTTTTACCGCCTTTTTTCCATTTACTTTAGTATCTTGACACTGGAGAGCAAGTTTCAGAGTCTCTTCTGAAATCCATTTTGGTCTTTTCTTTCTTTCTTGTCTTAATGGTCTTTTGCATTCTTCTTACATGATGTTCTTGATATCATCCCACGACTCTTCTGGTCTTTGGTTTTTAGTGTCTAATGCATTACATCTGTTCTTGAGATGGTCTTTAAATTCAGGTGAGATATACTCAAGGCCATATATTGGCTCTCACAGACTTATTTTAATTCTCTTCGGCTTAGCTTAAACTTACATATGTGCAATTGATGGTCTGTTCCAGTCTGCCCCTGGCCTTATTTTGACTGATGTGATACAGAGTTTTTCCAAATCTCTCGCCACAGAAGTAGTCAATTTAATTTCTGTATATTCTACCTTGTGAAAACCATGTATATAATCATCTTCTAGTTTGTTTTAAAAAGATATTTGCAATAAAGAAGGTTTCGATCATGAGATCGTCAGCATCATTTCTATCACCAACTACTGGTATGTCCAACTACATACCTTTCCTCTTAGTTTCCAACCTTTGA